TGAATTCTTAAGTTGAATAAAAATATTTTTTACTAGTTAAGATTAAATAGTTTTAAATTAAATACGAATTAAATTAAATACGAATAATCACAAAATTTAAAAATTGTTAAGAGAATTATTCATTTTAAAAATTATCCACTTTTTCACATAAACTTATAATATAAATAATATAAATAACATAAATAACAGATAATTTTTCAAATTATATATATTTTTAAAGCAATATATGTACTTTATTTCTCTCTCTAATCATGCTAATACAAACACAATAATCTTATCAAAGTCATACATAAAAAGCTCAGATTTTTAGAAAGTAGCTTAATATTTTTTACAACTCATTATTATTATATCAGGTAAATTACAACTATTGAATTATAAATTAATTGAATTATAAATTACTAAATCACTATTTTTATTTAGTAAGCACAGCCATGAATTTTCCTCCATAGAAGAAAATACAGATCGTTGTCTTATTACGCGAGTAATTTAGAATAACTCGGTTTTAAAGCAGTAAATCCAATTCAAAGATATCGTCGTTGCTTACGAAATAGCGATTTTCTAAATCTACGGTCTCTACGTAAATCTGTGTGACCTCTCAGTGTGACAAATATTTACTACAGCAATAACTGGCTACTTAAAATAAAAATAGTTTGAATAAATTTTACACAATAATAATATCAATATGTTATGAAATCTCCGATGTTTATTTATAATCGTCTATATTTATTGATATTTATTCATCTGAGACTTCTCTCTTTATTTGTCCAATAATACAATAGAGATTCACGTTTATTGAGATTTCCTATTTGCAAAATGTATCTGCAATCTCGTCCAATATATGCATATAAAAATTCTACTAGCATAAAATCGCCAAATATTTCTCAAACCAGAGATAAAATAGGAAGAAAGAAAGAGAGAGAGAGAACAAAAAAATAACTAAGACAGGTTCCCGAGAGAAATAACAGAATAAATACATCGAGATGAAGAAGTTCATGCTTTCCGGAGATTTATGGCAAAATTATCCTCTTTAATCTAATGGAAGAAAGGTACCAGAATCTCGTGCGCAAAAACTTTTATACAGAAATTTCAAGTATCAACATCGCTCCGTCTAAACTTATCGAGGCATTGATTTTACATCACTCAAGCTATGAAAGCTCTTGTCAGTTTTTGCCGTTGCGCCATCATCAGGGACAACAGCGCGACAATTTAGTTTCTCCTTCGACGCTCGCGCCGTCCTGTAAAATCACTAAGTGTTTTTCGATTACCTGTTCCGGTTTCCGTGCTTCCGTTTAAAATTGCTATACCTCGGTTCCGTCGTTTATATAGAGGTGAAAGTTTAACGATGGCTTTCAGGCTCTCTTGCGTCGCGTAATAACGTCGAAGCATCATAAAGAGTATCGAGGCAAGTATTTACGAGTGCAAAACTGGCTGAACAATGAATGCGATCGTAAAAAAGATATTCGCTAAATGATTAGTAAGATAACATTATATAGTGGAACACTCAAGGATTTTCGTAAGAAAAAAACAACTTTGTTTTTCAATATATTCGCATGCTTTTTATATATTTAACTTGACAAATAACATAACATAGGAAGATGTACAACAGCACTCTAATGTAATGTAAAAATGTGCAACTCGCTTGACTTGTTTTACGAAAGAATTCCGAAAAAGGATTCGTTTTATAGCTGTATGTTCGCCCGCGCTGCTTTATTTCACGTTCAATTTGTTGCGTATAAAGTTGTTCTTGCGCACAAAGACATCGTAGACATAAAATGTACTTGTCGCAAAAATACACATCGCACAAAACGTATAACTCGCATGAAGGAAAATTAAATTTTCACATATCAATTATTTAGCAAGCGAACGATCAAGAAGATGAAATACAATGCGAATTTGTGGTTTTACGAGAGGGCCACGTAGGTGGATTGACAACCTTATCATTGACAAATACCACGGGGCAAATATATCTCTTGAAACTTTATTTTGTTAGTCAATAAAAAAGATTGAAAATCCTATCAAGTTAGGAAAAATCAAAATATTTCGATAAAGTCATATATACTATATGTAATATTCGTAATGAAAATTGTAGTATTTTTATATTCTAGAATTTTTTATACAATTCTAAATAAAGAAGTTTTTTTATTTGTCGAATAGTTCAATATTTATGATATAAATGGATGATATAAAAATATTAAAAAATTATATATTATTATGAAATAATATCGTTGAGAGAATATATTTTCATTTATACTTATCTTCTTTTCTCGGAAATTACTTGCAAAATCATGAATATAAAATGGACATTTCACGTGTAACATGATTTGATGTTTATAAATGCAACGTTACACGTGGCTACGTGAATCAATCTACTTGACAGTATCAACATTTACTACACGTCCTGCACATCGCAATCCTTAATTGGATAACGCTCGTGCGCGTCGGTTAGATTCACTTTAATTAATAAAGACTAAATATCGTTATTCGAGAAATCAATTCTATATCGATCCCCTTCATCGGTTCAACATCGGTTAATGCACTCTCGACCTTTGATGTCGTTATACTTTAAACTTAAACTAACGAAACAGAATTAAAAGCCTAGAATGTCGCCGAAAGGAAAAAACAACCTTTCGTATTATATTCTCTTATTTACTATCTATAATTTGTTCTTAAAATAAAAATTCGGAACGTGACATATCCTTGAGAAAGGATAGTAGGTGGTAGATACTTCGAGAAAACTAAGTTAAATACTGTCGGAGCAAATTGTTCCCTCTTGAAAGATAATACTATATACTTTCACAACAAAATACGCTCGCTATCCAGAAATAAGTTAAATTATTTCGGGCAGATAAATGCGCGCGTTATTTATTCTCGTCTCTTTCTCTCTTTCTCTCTTTCTCTCCTTCTTTCGTATTTACATTGTCTTAAAATGTTCGATCGTTGCAAAGGAACTTGACCTTTTGTTGCCATCACGAAAATTTACTGCTAGATTGTGTGTTTACAGCACATTGACGAATATCATTACCGTTTAAAATATCATATTATGACGTGGAATTTTGCTTAAATTAGAGTTTATTACAAGAATAACAAAGAGAAAAACAAAGGATCTTTAAACCCTCATTATTAGCATGTCAATCACTTCCGAGATTAATTTTTTATACAAAAGTTTCTCGCATATTCCGATTAAAATTTTTCTTGCATTGTTTTTACATATCGAACTAAATATGTTAGATTTTCTTTCTATTTTGGTGTATAAAAGAATGCGATATTATAATTGAAAATGTATATTTTTTTCGGATAATATCTTATAAATAATTTGTTGATTTTTCTTGTCTTTAAGAAAAATTGCGAATTGTGAAGAAGTTACTCATACAAGGGATGAATAAAACATGTGACTATTATTTCCGAAGAAATGATTCTTGTATAAAAATCATGAAAAAACAAAAATCGCGAACGTAAGAGATCTTCCTTCTGTTGTTGAGAGAACCGTTTTCACTTATCTTAAGTAGTAGTAATATTTATATAGTCAGACGCATGACAGTGCATCAATGTATTTTTTCTTGTATCTGATTATACAATGTAGAACAAATAGAATCGTGCTCATACTATGTTGTGCTATAATAATTATATTAAATATATGTAGTAATAAACAAATATAATTTATTTACAGTAATATCGTGAAAAAGTGATGAATATCTTATTTCTATTAGATAAAATACATCATTTATTAAATTTAAACTTTATATAATGCATAATTACAGATATCGATTTCATTGAAAAAAGTACGTATTATGATAATATTTTTGCAAAATAATCAGAATACTATATAAAAACCATTAATTTATCTGTGAGGAACGTTCTCTCTTCGAGTCCGTAAAATTGATACATATATCGTAACATCTAATATAGTAGAGAAACTTTGATCTTATCAAAGTTTAGATTAGCAAACATCGACCTCGTCCTAGATGCATCAGTAGCAATAGTTTTCGAAAAGTTGGATCTTCCTTGATGGAGGATTGATCATAACAACTCACGAATAAGCATTGAACATTTGATTTTACTATGAGATAAAGATATTCAAAACATGCTGATTTAAAGAATCAAACTAACTTTTAAACAGTTTATATTATTATGTATTATTAACAAATTTATATTTATATTATTATATATTAGAAAAGATATATAAATATTAATTCTGTACACTTTATCTTCTTTATAATAAATAAATATCTATATTACATAAATCTATAAAAAAATATACTATATTAATTTGATACCCAAACCTTTGATCAAATAATGATTAAATGAGAAAGAGAAAAAGAGAGAAAGAATAAAAAGAATCTCTGTCTAAAATAGTCTAAGTTAAAATTATCTTAATTCTATCTTATATATTAACTCTTAATTTGTTAAAATTATCTATTATGATTAGGAAATCTTCACCAAATACACAATATAATATCTTTTTTTATTAATTGATATATTAAAATATAGATCGCTGTAAAGAGATCTTCATTTAAATTTTATTATTAATTATATGTAATAAAAAACAGCTGGAAAATACTAATTATTGGAAAAATATAAAATCATTTTTTAAATTATATATTATATGTACGTATGTACATGATTTTCGTTATAATTTTGGATTATTGTAACACGTATACATTGCAGTTATCGAGAAAGTTAAATTATGTGCTTAAAGTAGAAGTATCTTCGCAAGTGAAATTTCATCGAAGATATTGGTTGAAGCATTCACTTGCTCATATCAGGTGCTCCATCGCGTGCTTCATCAGGTGCTTCCGCAGTTGATGAGAGCAAGAAAGGCCGCTCTGCGCGACGAAGACAACTCTGACGTGGCTACACTTCGGTAGACTTTAGATAGAGCGTAGTGATGGTAATGCGCAGGTGGAAGAAGGTCGGAAGGTTACGAGAGCGCAGACGCCGACCGAAAGCATCGAGGATACCACCCGGCACGGTATCGAAGTACCGGACAGAGCTAGCTCGCCCGCATTGCCGTATTCGTCTACACACCAGCGTGTCAGATCGTCCATTCAGCGAGCCATTAGGGAAACGCATATTCGGTGGTCGGAGTGCCCGACTTCGTGTGTCGCGAAGGTTTTGCGATTTTGACGGTTGTCCGACTGACCGGTGATATCAACGCAGCATCTTCGTCTCGTCGTCTTGTTTTGGAGAACCGTTTTCCCGCGCTTGCCACGAAGTCGATTTGCACCTATTAAATACCACGCCGCTTTCACTCTCGACGTGCCTCGTTTGCATGTAAGTAGAACAGGAGATGTTTCAAAAACGTTTGCGTTTTAGCGATCATACATACCTGTAAGATTGAGTGAAGAATTTTCAAAATACAGCATTGGCCAATTAGATAAATAATGCGTGTCCTCGAAATTAGGAATTTCGAAATGCGCACGAGCGTGGTCATAAATATGAATGAGCTTTTCACAAATTAGACGGGAGAATTGTAATAAAGTGCGGTAAAGTCCTCACGCTTTGTTTAAGTATTAATTGTGAAGAGATACAAGATACAGATATACGCGGAAGAATAAATTTTTTATTTTAATACAATTTTATTTTAATTTTATTTTAATAGTATATTTAGGAGCACACAATTTATATTATTTATATTATTATATTATTATAATCATTAACATTATTTTTATTAATATCATATATATCCTTAATCTGCTTTATTAATAATTCGTTGCAAAATATTAAACAAATTATTTAATCATATTTGGTCTAACATTGCAAATTCTACCATCAATTTTAAATAGATATATATTTAATTATATACAATTTTGATATAATTATATTGTGTTTTTTAATATTGTTTTTTACAATTATTTGAAACTGCAATATTTAACAAAAAGAGAGAAAGAATTAGAAAGAATTAGATATAAGTATATTATTTTCCAGACTTAAAATATATATTATATAAATTATAAAGAATTAAATATTTTTTCCTATGAAGAACGCAAAAACGATAATCGCCACCCACTAATATTTTTAATAAAATCTAATAATTTTTAATTTTTAATAAAATTTAATAAAATTTAAGTTTATAAAATAAATTATAATAATATATATTATAACAAATTTTGTATATAAAGATTGTGTTAAATATAATTTGTTGTATTTTTTATTTACTAATAACGTGATCATTATTTATCAGAATTATTCATATTTGAAATATTAAAAGTAATATTTGAGAAGAAGAGATACTTGCATACTAATTTTTATGAGTCATAATATAATTATATCACATTCAAGTTGATTAATAATTCTAGTGCTGCCGATTCATTTTCGCTATATTGTTCACCGTATTATTATCTCTCATTTACTCACACAGATATCATAGATCGTGTTACCCCCTGTGTTGAACAGAGTTTGCTACTCCACGCAAACTACCCAAATTATATCACACACATGAACATATATATTATATATAGTCCATAAGAAACGATAATCTTTGTTATTTTCACAAGTACGAATTATATGAAATTTATGAAAATTTATATTAGCGTAATATTTTGAAAGTTTAATTAAATTCAATTATATATTATGAAATGTTCATATGTGTTATGTGTATATGGGTTTGGAAATATCTATTTTTTAGTGCACTATAAAAATTTGATGTAGAGTTTAACACGTTTCATTAGAACCATTTATATAATTAAATCTTACACATACACACACATATACACACAAGAGAATGTAAAACATTAAAAGTTTTTATTTTATATATATATATATATATATATATATATATATAATATATATATATATATATATATATATATATATATATTCCGGAGTATATTCTGGAGACTTGCCACGGCTCTATTTAGGGTCTATTCATCACTGTTGGCATAGTGGAGATATTGTTATTCACTAGAGGGATCTTGGGGGATGTAGTCACTCTACGGCGTTGTCTCTATGTGTGCTCGTCGGTGCCGTTTTTTACAGAAGGCCAATCGGAAACCAGCATGCAATGCACGCGAATATTTCCACCGGCACTTATTTGGTCAGCGAGCGACTTTTCCTCCGTGGCAATTGACATTTCATCCATCGAGTGAGATACAACATCGCTCTGGAGTCGCATATCATTATGTTAAAGAGCAGCATTGATGTGAGATGTGGATAGCTCAGTGGTCTAGAGCAGCTGCCCGGAAAGCGAAAGATTCGATTCCTAATCCAGCCACTTACACTTCACATATTTATCTAGTTCACGAATATTGTTTCCTAGCAATTATTCGGGCGAAAAGATGTGCGAATGTTCTCTTTATAGGATATGCGTCGACACCATTGCCACGAATGGATTTTGTCGCTCGTTGACCAAATGAATAATATAGACATGTCTAATTTCCTTTCATATATATATATATATATATATATATATATATATATATATACATCTAATTATTTATATGTAGATATAGCATTATTGGAACTCCACTGCAAAAATTTAAAGTAATATTTAATACTGGTTTCAATAACAACAATGTCATAATATTCTACGTATAAATAATTAGATATACATCGATTGCATATAATCAGTTATTTTAACAAATTAAGATGTTTAATAATAAGTAAATAAAGCGGGAAACATTATCTCACGTGTTATGTAAAAAAGCGATCAGTTGCTTCATAAAAATGTTTTGTTTTTAAAAATAGCGTTTGCAGAAATGTAATTTCTTATATAAGTTTTTCTTAATATACTTAGCTTTTTATTCTAAAAATAAAGTATCATCGATATAAAATAATTCTCAATACCAGATGTTATATTCGCGCTAGCAGCAGAAAATAGCATTCATATGTATTTTTGGCGAGCTGAATGAAACTCGACTGAAAGAGACGTGATATTTCCATTTATTACTTTATTTTTTTTTCTTTACACATTTTCTTCATGTCGTAATGCCGAGCGTAGCGTGTTTCTCGAGTTATTCAGTCTCTTGTTGCTTTTTTACGATGGAATCGATCGGCATGCAACGCGCAGAGTCATTGGACCGAAATTTTTAATTAAGTTTTACGTGGAAACATTTTACGCGTTTTATATTCTCTCTTGGAAGATATTCTCAATGCAACATTTCGCCTCGGATCCTATCTGTAAAATCCTTCCGAATCAGGTGTCGGGAACGACGTAGTAGATTGCATCATTTACCGAAGTGCTTTCGAACCGCAACTTTAGCATACGAAGCGCACTGCAAACTTCAACCGCATGTGCGTCTCTTAAACACTAATCGATCGTGAAATGAGTGGCAAAGCTACGTTAAAAATTGCTCATTAACATATTGATTGTCATGCTAATCACTGATATCTGTCTTTTCAAGCCTTAATGATCATCGATGATCATCAATGGTTGCCGGCGCTATTAAATTTAATTAATAAGTAATTGATATGCAAAAGATGATATCAAACTACGTTATAGTTATCGAGAATACTTAGTCACAATCAATCCGAGCTCGGTGAAACGCATACTTCCTCCGTCTTTTTGCCAACCGTAGGTTGGCTGCAGTCGAAAGTAAAAATAATTACAACAAGATTAATGTCATCGAATAAAAAATTTCAAATAACGTAAATTGGAGTAAATTATACTAAAATGTAAAAAGATGATTTATCAAACAATTAATAATTACTAAATAATAATTGTTATTAATAATTTTTATTTTTGTTTTAAATAAAAAAAAATAAGATTATGAATAATAAAAGTTATTTAAAGTTATTATAATTATATATTTATAATATACAGGTATCAGTTTTTGTTCAGTAATAATCTTATTACTTATTATTTCTTTCGTGCAAATAGAGCGAGTTAAATTGAACAGGAAAGTTTTTTCGTTTTGCAATTTTTTAAATAATTAATAAGAAATTAATTTTAAACAATCGCCTGATTCGCGTGATTATAAACGTGCCAAAAAGAGACAATCCAATGTTACACGATTGCTAGACACGTGACGAAGCGTTAGGATTAATAATGAAGCATTTAATTACATATTGTGCTCTGTAACAGTAAGCTGTCTCATCTCTGTTTCATCACGCGCTTATATGCTTACGCAGACTGACGCTTGGCTGACTTTTTTAAATTAATTTCTCATCAATTATTGCAAGAATTAAAACGATAGAGGCCTCTTTTGTTCGATTTAATTTGTTTTATCTGTATACAAAAAATGATATGATGATACTGATGATATATAACTTATTATTTTATTATTTTTAATTAGTGACCAAATTTATTTATTTAAGAGAAATTAATGAGTTACATGTTTCAGAGCTTATAAGATAATTTAAGATTTTATAAGAACAAATGAATATATATTGTAGGATCCCGAGTGCGAACACATGTGAGATAAACAATATTAATAAGGATATATCTTATTTAATAATACTGTTAAATATTTTATCATTATATTTATCATTATACTTATGATAATGGAAATTCTATTGTGATTTCTTTTTACAGATAACGTTGCATTTTAATGTAAGGCTATGAGGATAATATACAAAATTTGCGTAGTAATTAACGTATTAATAAAATACCGTAAAAATCAATTTCTCGAAAATCTAATTATTTAAGAAAAGGAAATTAGGAAAGGGAAATTAGGAAAAGGAATTATTTGTGAGAAATAATCCCATTCTAGACATTAGTATATAAGCTCCTCTTCGATAACTTAAAATCTCCTAGAATTTTGTTGTTCTATATTCAACAATGTTTGAAAGCTCATATTGAAATTATTCTTACGTTCTAATTCTATTTTATTAATTTAAAGTAATATCTAATTTTAAGCAGAAAGTGCAAAGTTTAGGCAGAAAACATACATGTTTTACACGATGATATGAAAGATGAGTAGAAGCTATTTCGATGAAAAGTTCTCTATGTAATCTCAGATAACTGTATCCGTTCGTGTGAAACTTGAATTGAGTTTTTGACGTAGCTCGTATGATGCTTTAGTGAAAAAGCGATTAAATTCGAAATTTGTGCTAGCAAATAGAATATTAGAAAATTTTTCTTTGAATTTTTTCTCGCGGATATTTCAATAAATAGCAAATAATAGTAATCATTCAGCAATTGAATAATATAATATTATTTATTATGATAAAAACAGAATTGTGCATCATATTATGTTATAAACTGAAGTGATTTTGAATTATATCAACGAGATATATTTTATAATATAAATTATGAATATTCTAATTATCAGAACATACATAATTTTAAATCAAGTCTCTTTGATGCAAGTCGTAATGACTCGTACCGTCTTTGT